CATGTCAAGTACATATTTTCTCTGGAATAAACAAATACCTTATTTAGATCAAACTACCTCAATACCTAAGAAATATTTGAGTTTTTTCAAATCTTTAGTATGAAAACGATCCTGCAAGAATATTTTTAACTTGACAATCCCCTCAGAATCATTTCCAATAATCACAATATCATCTATATAGACTACCAATAGAACATATCTAACATCTGTCTGTCTATGAAACACAGAATGATCTATCTGACATCGAAAAAGATCAAATTCTAAAACTGCATCTGAAAACTTACCAAACCATGCCCTCGGTGACTGCTTCAAACCATACAAAGATTTCTTTAATCGACATACATTCTTACCATACTCCCCTTGAGCAGTAAACCCAGGTGGCTGCTCCATGTATACCTCTTCAACTAAGTCACCATGTTGGAAGGCATTCTTGACGTCTAACTGAAACAAGGGTCAATCAAGATTAGCAACCAAAGAAATCAAGATACGAACAGAGAAAATTTTGGCAACAGGAAAGAAAGTCTTCTCATAATCAATACCATAAGTCTAAGTAAAGCCATTTGCAACAAGCTGGGCTTTGAGATGCTCCACAGAACCATCCAAATAAAATTTAATAGTATACACCCAACAACACCCAACAGTTCGTTTAGCAGGGGGTAAAGGAACAAGATCTCAAGTCTCATTGTAATGTAAGACATCCATCTTCTCCTCTATAGCTTTCCTCTAACTCGGATCAGATAATGCATCATGTAAATTCTTAGAAATAGATATAGTAGATAATTAGGAGGTAAAACAAGAGAAGATAGGAAACAAGGCATCATATGAAACAAAATGAGCAATGGGATGATTAGTAACACACGAACGAGTACCTTTTCGAAGAGCAATAGGTAAAGAGTCTAAATTACTTGATGTACTAGGATCAGAAGACGGCAAGGAAGACGGTACGGACACCTCAGTCAATAGGCGAGGACGACGAGAGTAGACACAGAAAGGTAAAGTAGATGGTAACACAATGGGCAGCTGAATATCTGAAGATAAGGAAAAAGATGGTGGTACAGGAGATGATCCATAGTCCAGATCCAAAGGCTAAGAAGGCGCTAGAAAATATGGAACAGATTCCTCAAACGTGACATCGACACTAGTAAAGTATTGGCGTAAAGAAGGACTGTAGCAACGATATCCCTTCTGCGTGCGGGAGTAACCAAGAAATACATATTTGATAGCTCGAGGGTCAAGTTTGTCAAATCCAGGATCCAAATTGTGAACATAACTGACACATCCAAAAATTTTAAGAGTCAGGGAATATAAAGGCTTGCCAGGAAAAATGACAGAATATGAATTTTGTCTATTTAACACAGAGGATGACATATGATTAATAAGGTGACAAGCAATAAGAACATCACTCCAAAAATATTGAAAAATATTCATCTGAAATAATAAGGCACGGGTGACTTCCGACGTTCTTGCGTTCAGTAGTACTATTATGTGGAGAGGTGTAAGCACAAGAAGTTTGATAAATAATGTCAGTTTTACTAAGATAAGCTGAAAAAAGATCAGATTCATATTTCTGAGCATTATCGGAACGTAAAGTATGTATACGACAGCCATACTGAGTTTTTATTAGATGAAAACTCAGTATAGAGAATAATTCAAACTGAGCTTTCATAAAAAACAACTAAGTCACACAAGAATAGTCATCTACAAATATCACAAAATAAGGATATTTATTAGATGAAGTATTTTTTATTGGATTCCATGCATCAAAAAGTACTAACTCAAATGGACTAGACACGCGATTATTGATTCTAGACTGAAATGACACACAGTGATGCTTACTAAATTGACAAGCTTCACGAGACAAAGACGACACATAACTCAGACTGGAAACTTGGCGCTTCAGATTTTGGAGAGAGGGATGTCTAAGACGACAATTCTATTGAAAAGGAGACAACGAGGTCTGTAGAGCCCGGGTAGGTGAATCAAAGTCAAGGTAATATAGACCACCAGCTTCATGCCCTATACCAATCTTCCTCTTCGTCTTGAGATCCTGAAAGACACAATAAGAAGAATAAAAAATTACAGAACAATTGAGGAAACGAGTAATCTTGCTAATAGAAAGTAAACTAAAAGGAAATTGAGGAACAAATAACACAGAAGATAGGGACATATCAAGACTCAAGTGAGTAGTCTCCAGCCCTGAAACTTTAGAACAAGTACTATTAGCAAGAGTAACATTACGTGTGGAAGTAGCAGACTAATAAGTAGAAAAAATATCAGACGCACCAGTTATGTGGTTAGAAGCGCTGGAGTCTATGATCTAGGGACTGCGAGTGGAGGACAATAAACAAGTGAAAGCAGTACCTGACTGGGCAAAAGTAGCAGTAGAAAGAAATGGGAAAACCTGCTGCTGGGACAGAAATTGAGCATACTCCTCCTGTATAGGAGTAATTGACATAGAATCAGGTGGAGCGAACCTGGGTATAGAGGCAGGAGTCGGGGTGTCATCCTGATAAGAAACCTAATTAGCAACACCCGAAGGCTTGCCATGTAAATTCCAGCAATAATCAACAGTGTGGCCTCCATGACCACAGTGAGAGCATGAACGAGACCCTGAACGCCCTCCACAACCTCCAATACGGCCTCCGAGACCACCACAGTTACCATGGCCACCTCGAGAACTATCACTATAGGCACTCGGGACAACACGAGCTGAACGTTTAGTAGGCACACCAGACTTCGTGTGGGATGTCCTGGTAGAGAAGGCACCACGCTGTAATCAGGAGAAAATCTCTAGTAGAGATGGAAGATTAGAGCCATCCAAAATCTGAGAACTAATAGACTCGTATTCAAGTTTCAAACTAACTAAAAATTAAACAACATTCAAATCCTCATGTTGCTTCTGTCAAACCGTGGCATCAGTAGTAAAGGGGTGATAGAGCTTCAACTCCTCATACACTCCCCGAACATGAGAGTAATAGTCCTCAAGACTCAGAGTACCCTGCTCCAGACGAAAATACTGTTTGCATACTTCATATGCACGAGTGAAATTTTCAGTGCCAAAATACATGGTGGCTAAGTGATCCTAGATCTCTTTGGCCGTGTCGAGATAAAGTAAAGTAGAACTAATACTGGGCTCAATACTATTCAATAGCAAGGATACAATTTGAGCATCTTCTTGTTCCCACTTATCATACCCAGGAGTACCGTCCTTGGGTTTAGTGTCCGCTAAGTATTTCTTAAAGCCTTTACCTCTAAGAAACACTTGAGACCACAAAACATAATTGCTCCCATTGAGTTTAACAGATGTCATGGGACCATTAAGTAGAACCGTTGGAGAAAAATTTGCTGGCAAATCTTGACTATCACCATTTTGATTCTTGGGTTCCATAGTAGTATAGCAATAATAGAACCAAAGGAAAACAAAGAAGGCCGGAAGAACACTGGACAAAGGCTGAACCAGCTGAACAGTGGACTAGTTGCCTGAACCAGACCAAAAATAGTGGCTGAATACCTGAACCGGGTGTGAAACACCTGCTGGATAGATGAACCGACCAAGAAAGGTTACTGACTGCCTGAACTGGGCCAAGAGCACCTGTTGAAAGGCTGAACCAGAAAGGAAAACAGGAGTTGTACTGCTAAACAGGTGTGAACTAGCCTGGAAGAACTGAACAATGCTGAACCGAAACTGAACAGGTGCTAAATCGGACCAGATTGAAGAGAACCAGTGCTGAATCAGACTAGATTGAAGAGAAACAGGTGCTGAACTGGACCAAATTGAAAAGAACTGGGTCTGAACCGGACCAGATTGGGTCTAAATTGGTTCTAAACCGGCCAAATTGGGCCGGGCTTAAGAACAATCCAAACCCGCTTAGCCAACCCGACCAAAACTGACCCGCTATAGGTCGTCTTCTTCACTTCACTGATTAGGGTTTTAACCAAACCCTATTCCTTCACCGTTAACTGCGCCAAGAGAACACCACCAAAGGCGGCACCAACCAGATGCCACCAGCGTCAGCGACAAACCACCACGAGGCAAAAAAATCAGACCCACCAATGACTTATAAAAACCAGACGCCACCACCAGTCGACTGCACCAACGTCGATTGTACCACCACGAAGCAATACCCAGACACCAGTCGATTGCACCAACGTCGACTGGTACCACCACGACAGCAACACCACAACACCACCACCATAAACAACGCAGAGACAATGAATAGAAACCATACCGGTGTTAATATATTTAGGATTGTTTATGCTCTGATACCATATTAAGTTTGAAAGATTAACATAATATTAGAGACAATATTTAGGAAGAAAGAGAGGTTAAAAACTTAACCTAACTCTCATACATCGCTTATATTTATAGTTAACTCACAATAATAAAAATTACACATACACCCTCTTACTATTAATAATTTACATATACTACCCTAATATTCTTAACAAGAATGTTCTATGTACATCTGTGGATGGTGACCCTTAATATCTCTACCATTGATTTAACATATCAGTCTCTATTTGTTAATCCAAGATATTGGATCAATGTATGAATCCTACTAGCACTTGACATGGGAAATAGCATGTGAATATGACTCTGGCGTAATTGATTTCAAAATGTACCTAACAATCTCATAAAATTTGAAGCTGAATTAATTCAACTTTAAACGAAAGCTCTTGCCTAAGCCCACTAAAACATTTACAAGGACTCGCTCAATTTGAAGTTTCATAAGAGAGAGTCTTTGCTAATTTCAACACATTCTCATCCTCGCTCATCTCAAATTAGGTGTTCCAGGAATGAACTGTCATCGAACACTCTTTGAAGGGGTTGTGCTCGTATTCACATATCAAATACCTTTACCCTATTATGCATTATATTGGATATCCTAGTTTGTTAATATGAACTGCCGACTTAAAGATAGTATATCATAAAGCTTCTGTTTGTGGCATTCTATGGTAAGGTGGTGGAAAGGGGAGTGATTATAACTATTTTGATTTGAATGCTTATTAACAGGGCTCCCATAGTTGCCAAATGTGACCGGAAACGGATTCTTTCCTCTTGGGCTCCATACTGTGGTCATGTGATTCCAACCGAGTTCGAGGTTGAATTTTGGAAAGTGCGATATCTTACGTCCCGTCAATTTGTTGAGAAGTTATCCAAGGAGCTTGGAGTATGCGGCGTTGTCACAGGTACATGATTTTTGGAGTTCCATTGCCATTCCTTCTGAGGACCTGACTACTGAACTTTTTACATTCTACTTATTATTATGGTAGGAAAAAACTACCGCTTTGGATACAGAGCTGCTGGTGATGCATCGGAGCTGGTGAGGCTGTGCAAGGAGTTTGGTATGGAGGCTTACATCATAAATCCTGTCATGGACATGAATCAAGACTCCAGAAACATAGACTCTAGTGATTCAAAGGAGCAGGGGCAAGTCTCATCTACTCGTGTTCGTCATGCCCTTTCCAAGGGAGATATGAAGTATGTGTCTGAGCTTTTGGGTCGCCAACATCGTCTTATGATGGTGGTAAACGACCAGGATAGGTCTACTAGCAATAAAAGCTGGGTATCGGCTCCAAAGTCTTGTTTGTTAAATCTTCCACCGAAGGAGGGTCATTATGAGAACTGTTCTCTTTTGATTGATGACAAGAATGTTGTACCATGCAGGGTAATCATTGATGCGACACATGTTCATTTGGAACTGGATGAGGTAAGTACCTGTACTTATATTACTTCTCAAGGCTTACAGTGCTTGGGTATTGATTTTGGTGATTGAGGAGCTTGATGGTGTTTAAATTTGTGTCTCCATTTTGTTTATTTCTCAGTCAAATGGTTCCCAGGTTATAAGCCATTCATGTATTAATGTGAATAGGATAACATCTTTTGCTGAGGCAAGGGGACACTTATCTTAGTATGAGTTGGTGACAGCTAGTATTTTTACTTACGCATTGATTCGAGGATGTCTAATGCTCTGGTTCCAATTACATGTGCTTCATATATGGTAGCCTTTGTAGATGGCCATTGGAGTGGGAGAGCAAATTGACATGTGTAGCCATGGATTGGACGTGGTATTTGGAAGATTGGTCGATCATCAATTATGGCCTTGCTTCCTCCACAAGACTAAGTCTCTAGTGAGGGGTTGCAATCATAACCATTATTTGGTAATTGGAAGATCATCCAATTACACCTAATGGAAGGGGAGTCAAATCCCCTTTTTGTATATTCTTACCTGCCTTACTTGCCTTCTTTCTTTCTTTTTTTCTTTTCCCTTTGTGTACCTTAAAGTTTCACTCATTTCTTGGTCCAGGAGCATTGATGCTTCGTTGGGTAAGTTCGAAACTTATTGCTTGCATTTGTAAGCTTTTTACATGTTTGCGCATGTATGCAGAATGCTTATTTTTGACATATTGTGGAACTTATGCAAATGCAAAACTACTGTTATCTTTTTGTGGGATAGTTAGATTTGTATTCTTATTTGTTGTTTAAATGTATGAGATCATTGGAATCTAGCATGGTTGTACTTTGGAGAATGAAGAAGAGACTAAAGCTATCAATTCATACTTGTTATCACCTCTTTACTTTGGCAACTGTTAAATACTGAAAGTTAAATTGATGGCATCATTTAGATTAAACAGTCGCCTTCCTCCCCCAAAAAAAAAAAAAAAAAAACATGTCAACACCAATGGAGGAAATCTTGGAAAAGTGTTGGAACAAATTTTCAGCACACTCTAGTGCAGTGTTGTAACAAAACCATCTCTAAACTAGAAAACCAGTCTGTTTTGACGAAAAACAGACAGTTTTGTCAAACCGAGCGGTTCTAATTTTAAATGAGATAAAATTAAAAAAAAAACTTTATTTTGGGCAATATGCCCTAAATCTTGTCTTCTCTTCCTCAATATCCACAATCCACAGCACGCACAGATGACAAACTCTCTTCTCTTTTTCCAATCGTCTCTGCTCAGTAACTCAAACAGCCGAACATTCGAATTCGTCTTCTCATGCGAATTCCTGTAATCACTTAACAAACAGTTGTCTTTTTTATTATTTTTTATCATTGATTTGAAATTTCAAAAAGTAGCATCGTTGTCTCAAGAAGATCATTGCTTCGAGAAGGCAAAAAGACAGCTTATCAAGTTGTCCATTTTATTTAATTTTTTATAAGATTATGTTTCTAGGTGTTAATTTTAAGAGTAATGCTACATAGACTTAAAAATTAGATTTGATAATCTCAACCATTGAATAGGTAGTGAGTTCTAATAAATGTTAAAACTCGTAGTGAAATCAATGGTTGTAATTATCAAATTTAATTTTTAAGTTTGTATATCATTGCTATAATTTTATAGTAAATTATATGTACATTGAACATGTTGTATATTTTTTTAGTTAAAATATTATGTTATATAATTTTTTTTATTATACAATCGATCCGATTAGTTGATCCAATGATTGAACCAGTGAATTATTAATTCGGTCCCTCTCAATTTTATGTCCAATCCAATTCTAATAACACTGTTCTGGTGGCTTGAGCAAGGCATAGTTTCCATTGCAGGAGGGCAGACATTAGATACCCTTTGGAGGCTTGGGCTAGGGTGTATACTTGAAGCATGTAGTCTTCAAATTTGATAATGCCTGGGGATCAACCACATTTTCTAGATTATCTGAAGAAGTTCAGATTTGCAGTTAATAGAGAGAAGACAGCTTGGTCTCTGAGCTACTCAGGCGTTAGAGTGGTGTGGAATCTTGGATTTGGAGAACTCTTCCATGACTGGGAGTTGGAGTACATGTATTATGCTATCATGTTAGTTACGGATGTGGATTTGGATAGATGCAGACTTGTCAGGTTCTCATGAACTCAAATCCAAACGTAATTTGAGTTGGATCAGTGTATAAATCCTAGATTGATGATTGTGCAGGCGGTTATGCTAGAGGGCAAGGTGTACCTCTATGGCTTGTAGTCAAAGTCTAGCACCGAATGCATTTGACTTGGAAGCAACCTTTTATTCAAACACGAAGAATGAAATGAATAAACGAGGAAGACAAAAAATGAAGTACTTGAACTATACTGAATTTTACTATGCAAAGAACGTAGTACAAAATAGTAGGTAGGTAAATTGGTTAAGCCTAATGACGCTAAAAGAACGCCTATGCTACGGGTTTGAAAGTTGAAAACTGTAACTTGAATAGCTTTCAGAAGCTGATTATTGTTTGGGAGTTGGGTCCTTTCGTCAAGCTTTTCTTTACAATTTATAGAACTGCTATCTATGTTCTGTTGGTTATTGCTTTTCACTGAATGCTTCTTGGGCGTGGTCCCCTCATCATATTGCCATCTCTTGGAGGTTATACTTAACTAACTAATTCCCGCTTTGCTCCATCACGTTTAATCAATGCTTCCATGTCAAGTTAGCTTCATTTATTGTGATATGCGGTGTGTTTTTCTTTCTTTATTGCCAAATCCTCCATTTGGAAAATTAAGATAAAAAGTCCATTTTCTCCATTTGGAAGGTAATTGAATTCTCTCTTCACATTCACGCATTGGCCTCTTTGGAAAACATACCCCATGCTCATTATTTTCCTTTTATACACCGCATTTTCAGCATAGACGACTTACAATGGTCTGGGCAAGGACTCCACTAGCCCAAACAGGCACTAGCTCGAAGGTGGCCTTCGCCTCCTCATCATAGACAAATTGGTGAAGCCTACCAGTGCTACTTCTTCATTGTCCCACATAGAGGCACACCAGGTTCGGAGACCTTCACCTTCCTTTGTCTTACCCCTTCTTCTTTGAGGGCATTGGTGGAGACTCCACCACTATAAAAGGCATAGTTATTAGAATTGAACTGGATATCTAATCAGAAAAGGGAGCGGGTCAATAGTTCACTAGTTTAACCATTAGATCAACTTGTCGAATAGGTTATATAATAAAAAAATTATAAAATATAATAATTTAGCTAAAAAAATATGAAACATGTGCATAATACATACAATTTATCATGCAATTTATGAAGTTAATTAAGTAGAGAAAAGTAGCTATAATAATTTAGATATTTCATTAGAATGCATATCATGGAGAATAGAATCAATAACATATCGTGGAAATTTCACTAGAGCACATATCCACAATAAAAAATGAGTCTGTACTTTTCTTAATTTAATCTTAATTTATGTTGAATTTATGTGGCCGTACTTTTCAAAACAAATTCAAAAATGATTTATAGGGCAGCGTGCGATGGGGTGCACAAGGCAACCGTCTTGTCTGCCTAATAAATAAAACTTAATGAATGTTTTGACCCTTTTACCCCAAATATATGTTCACGTCATATAACATAGAGGGAGGTTTTTGACTTTTCACCCAACATATTTTTTAATACCCACTAGATCACTTTAAGTCTACGGTTTAGAGAGAGATTCGTTTGAGAGTCTTTGAATCAAACGGAAGTCATGGAACCTTCTCATAGTCCGGAGTATAGAGACAGAAACGACTGGGGCTAATCCTATTTCTCTCTTGATTTAAAATCGTTTCACTCGTGCCCGTCCATTCGAAATCGAGAGGAACCCTTTCGATCGAGGTAGAGAGGTGACAAACGATCGAGGAAGAGAGAGTGGAGAACTTTGTTCGAAGCACTAAGTGGAAGGATTAGAGATCTGCCGCCCGAGATTCGACCCGCCCGGTTCCATTAAATAGTCCAGTTCATTGGTTTTATTGAAAAATTGGCCGACACATTGGTTTAGTGGCAGTCTCGGTGTCAAGGGCGGAGTCAAAATTTTTATTTATTTCGGACTAAGTTAAACATTCATACGATTATCAAAATATAAATGTAAACTCATAAAATAGCCCACTAATGACCCACAAATTTTGTTTTTTTAATTGTGGTCCAAAAATTTTATTTTTAATGTTGGGCCAAAAATTTTATTTTTTTAATGTTGGGTCAAAAGTTTTTGTAATAGGTTTGGGTAGATTTTAATGAGTTTGTGCAGATAATATTGGACTCAAATATTTTTGTTTTAAATGAATTAATTTTTTTAAGTTTTATAGGTAAATAATGTGGGCCTAATATAAATGAGGGAGACACACATAATATATTATATAAATATATAATACATATACCTTACTAATAAATTTTTTTTTTTTACTCTGGGCTTCAGCCCACCGTAGCCCACTAATGACTACATCCTTGCTCGGTGCATAATCGATCTAATTGTTGAACTGGACCGTCTTAGGGTATGTTTCACCAGTATACTGGTTGGACCGGTTGATTCAGTTCGATTCTGATAACAATGATAAAATGAATTGATTATGGTCTCATAATTTGATTATTTAATGAAAAAGACTAATTATTTGTTTGAGAAAAGTTGGTAAGTGTGGGGATTTATTAAAAATTTGTTACTATGTTAGTCATGAAAGAATTTTATTTGTTTTGTAGAAAAATGATTAAAATTTGACGAACATAAAGTGAATAAAGAAGCACAGTTGAAGATGAGCGTACTAGAATACGCGTGTGGACAATGGAATGCTTTGCGTCCAGACAGGATTGACAAAATGTGAAGGTTGAAATGCTTGAAGAGTTGGAACACACTGCCATGTGCGTGTACAATTGAAAACACGCGTCCGATCGCGTGTTGCTAGAATACCAGCGCCACTAGTGGAGTTGGATTGTAATTAGATCTTTTCCAAATTAACACTATCTAAAGGGGAGGGGAGTTATGTGAGAATACTTTTTGGTTGGAGTATTATTATTTAATTTTCTGGTTTAATTTTTTCATGTCTGACTAAGAGGATTGACTAGGGCTAGGAGAGAACCTCTCAATGAAGTATGATATTGTTTTTCACTTATTAATTTAATGGTATGTGATATTTTGTTAATTTAATTTTTGATTCTTAGTAAAGTTTTTGCTCTGTAAGGATTCTTGAGTCATTGTGTCTTATACTTTGATTTCTTAAATTTTCCTGCGAGATAAATAACTAGTCATTTCATGCTTAAGTTAATTACAATTTATTTCACATAATAATATAGCTAGGGGATTGTTGTGTTAAAGCAAGAATTTGATTGTTAGGAGAGTTTGATTTATTGTAGACTCTGAACACAATAAATACTTACAACCAACAACTAGTTCTTTGATTTTTTTGGATAAACTTTGGTTATAAACAGAGGTGTTTTCTTGTTCTTATTGCTAAATATGATGACTAGAGTCAGTTGACACTTGATTCTTATCTAGGGTTGAAAATTAAGTATTTAATCATTATTGTATGGATTTGAGAGGGTATACCTGATGCTCTAGTATTTTGTACACTATTTTAATCAATTTATTCAATTATCCAAATTCAAACATTCATCTTGAAAATTATTTTATAAGTTTGTTAACAGTTTAACAGTTTAGTGTGGTGTCTAATTGTTTTCACAATTCCCTGAGGGTTCGACCTCGGTCTTCCGAGTCTAATTATTTTGCACAACCTGCATTTGGGTTTATATATTTGAAGTTGTAGTAAGTTTTTTGTGCCGTTGCAGCGAAACTATTGAAAGACAAGGAGCCGCCATTACATTTATTGAGGTTTTTGTGGTTTATGATTCGTCGGAGATTCGGTAACTTCGTTCTATTTTTATTTTGGTTAAATCTAGTTTCTTTTTATCATTTTTTTTTTTCAATTTTTATTTATTTCTTGTAATTTTTTTATGAGTTTTGGCATCGTGATTTGAGTGGACATTTAATAAGAGAAGAATTAGATATTCTGTTTGGAAACCTAGTTGATTCATCCGATTCAAATCATATATCTCACACAATGGCTATAGATCCCAATAATAATAGGAGAAATAACTTTCTTGAACATGAAGATCATGAAGATAGAATACGTAATCATGATAAGAATGATGTCTGATGATGCACAAATTGGTATTGCGCAAAATCAACAGTCGAGTATATCAAGAGACACAATTAATGAGCAAAAAATAGACAATTAATGGCAGAACAGTACATATGGAATCAACACAAAGATTTATAGTGCTTCGGTCTGAGTGACCTACTCCATTCTCGGGAACGGCAGCGGTGGCCTAGGTCTTTTATTGATGAATGAAGTCGTTAGAGAGAGTATTCTCCAGGAGTATTACAATGCTTATAGAGAGAGAGAGAGAGAGAGAGAGAGAGAGCAATGTGTGTAAGAAGGTGTAGTGTGTGTAAAGATCTCAAAGTGTAGAGGCCTCAAGGTGGTAAGGTGATCATGCCCTCTATGTGAAGAGGACTTACATTATATAGGTATGATGAGGCGGTGATGTGAGGGAGATGACTTCTACTATTTTGGTAAGTACAAATAAGGTAAGATTAGATTTTCGTGCGTATCCCGATATTCTCTCCCTCATGCTCCTATTCAGTCAGAGGAGGATCCTAGGCTTGGCCTTAAGTTGATGGGTGCTGGACTTGAATTGGAGTGTCAGGGTCAAGAGGGCGAAGGACTCCACAAGGTTGCGCATGAGAGGGAGCATGAGACAAAGGAGCAAGAGGATCCCCTTGGGGGTGACCTCCCTTGGGCTGCGCCCCTTGGGGTGTCTCCCTTGGACTCCTCCTTTACTTGTTGACTTGGGCTCCTCCTTTACTTGCTGGCTTGGGCTCCGAGGTGACGTGGGCCTCTTCTGATTAATTAGGTCTGGCCCAGTTACTTTTGGGATCATCAATGTCGAGAATCTGAATGCTAATCTAGGTCAAACTTTGAGTGAATATCTGCAACTTGCACGTCACACTGCACCATTATGTATCATTTTTCCATTAAATGCCACGAATTTCATTTTTAAACCTGGTATGATTGCATTACTTCCAAAATCTCATGGCATGGATTCAAAAAATCCCTATTTGCATATTAGAGACTTTGAGGAGGTTTGTGCTACATTTCATGATCAAACTGTTTCTGTGAATATAATCAGGTTGAAGCTCTTTCCTTT